AAAAAAAAAAAAAAGAAAGCTGTAGCTCTAGAGTCCATACACCTTGTACCACAACAATGGTTGCCAAGCCTGGCTCAGCATCTCAAGGGGTTTTTATGACATTGCATTTCCTGGACCTGCTGTCTCCTGTTTACTCTCCCATTTCCAGTTCCTCCTCCATCTAGGCCAGTTTAGATGGTTAAACTTTGGTGTCCATTAGAATACTCTGAAGCACTTGTTAAAACATTTTGCGGGCCCCCCCCGCCACAGTTTCTGATTCAGCAGGCCCAAATGTGGTGGGGACAGATGAGAATTTTAAGTTTCTTTTTTTTTTTTTTGAGTTGGAATCTCATTCCGTTGCCCAGACTGGAGTGCAGTGGCCGCTCCCGGCCACCGCAGCCTCGACCCGCTGGGCTCCGGCGATCCTTCTGCCTCAGCCTTACGAGTAGCCAGAATTACAGGCGCGCGCTACCACGCCTGGCTGATTTTTGATTTATTGTAGAGATGAAGTCTTGCCAAGTTGCCCAGGTGGGTCGCGAACGAGAATTTTAAGTTTCTAACAAGTTGCCACATGATGCTATCACTCTCTGGGGACCACACTTGGAGAAACTCTGCTCTAGGCCCTCCAATGATGGGGCTTCCGGATTTAGCTTCCTAAAATACAACTCAAATCACATCCCACCTGATACCAAGCATCATACAAAGCTGTTCCCTATTGCTTACAGAAAAAATCTGCAAAGCCTAACATTGGAGGACTTCTAAGAAGTTACTTCTCCTCTTGTCCCTTCTATTCCCTGTCACATAGTCTAGGACAGCACTATTCAACACGTAGCCCATGGACTGGCAGCATCAGCGTCACTGGGAATTTGTTAGGAATGCAGATTCTCAGGCTACATCCCAGATCCTCAGGGCTGAGGCTCAGGAATGTTTTAACCACGTGACAAGTGGTCTGTAGGAACATGAAAGTGTGAGAAGCCCTGGATCAGGACCTGGGGTCCATGAGGCTACTCATTTCCTTCCACACTCCTACCTGGGAGCTTTCACTAGGGTCTGCCCCTCCACGGAATGCCTTTCTTCCTCCATCTCTGGAATGCTTAAATTCTACCGCTGTGTCCCAACTCAAATGTTACCAAAAGCCACCAGGCTTACTCCTGCAGGTGGTTTCCTGGTGATTTGCTGATGGTCCTTGATATGAGCTTTCCCTACAGCTCTGAGTGCTGTGTCTAGCATTAGAGTACTTTACAGACACGCCCTCTCTCCCTTCCTAAGCCATAAAACTGAGGTCAGGATGCAGGCGGTAGGCACCGTGACACTCCCCACAGAGCTCAGCCACTGCCTGGCACAGTAAGCCTTTGCTGAGCGCACGCACGAGTGACACGCACCACAGCTGTGGAGTCACTGACGGTGTGCTCACAGATGAAAGGGGCCTCTGGCACATCCATGATCACAGAGGACTCCGAGTGTGTTGAGGAGGTTTCTGTGTCCAGCTCAGGGTTGTCAAGATCCACCAAGCCCCCGGGGGCCATCTGGGTACTAGATTGACGGGGGCAGAGGGCCAGGTCTCCCTTTTCTGTGTTCTTGGCCAGTGAGGAGAAGTTGAGTTTGTTCAGCTCTCCCTCCAGTATCCCTGCGAAGAAGCTGCTGTTGGGCTGGGTCACAGCCAGCTTGATGGGGTTCAGTGAGGTGGAGGAGACGGGGGAGATGCTGGTGTCATCGGAGCTGTATTCAGATTCCTCTACTGGCATTGGCTTCCTAGAGTGGGAAGGGAGACAGATGAGTCAGATAAAGGAGGCCTCCCCAGGCCAGGCCACCTAACAGTTCCTGAGGACCGGCCTTGAGCTGACCTATCAGCATCCCCAACTGCTTCAGACCGCGTGGAACATTCTTACTGCTCTACACGATTGCATCAGGCTCACCAGGGAGCTTACTAAAAATGCAGATTCTTAGTCCCTGGTCCCCAATTGGGATGAGATGGAAGAAGTTGCATCTGTAATAAGACCCTTAGACAATTCTGATGCAGATTTTCTGAAAACCACAATTTCAGAAACACTGCTAAAACTGTTACATCCTCCCTCCAAAGTAGGGTGCAAACTCCCCATGGAATGACCACAACAACATACTGGAGTGTGGAAAAATATCTACAGGTACCTAAAAAGAAATTAATAAAGCTTTACTAACGTTTTTTACAATTGTTTAATATTTAGTGCAATTACTAATATTTACTTACATTGAGTAACATCTTATAATGTAACATGTAATAGTCACTTACATTTTAGTAACCTGTAACAATACTTATGCAAAGTTAATAGCCGTACAACTATATGTATGTTGGGGTGAATGCTCAAAAACTGATTTCTTCCATTTTGATTTTTTAAAATTATGAAGTATTTTAGACCTACACAGAGATAGTAATATTTGTTTGTTTATTTATTTGACTTAGGGTCTTGTTCTATTGCCCAGGCTGGAGTACAGTGGTGTGATCATGGTTCACGGCAGCTTCAACTTCCTGGGCTCAAGCAGTCCTCTCACTTCAGCCTTCTGAGTAACTGGGACCACAGGCGCATGCCACCATGCCTGGTTAATTTTAAAGTTTTTTTTGTAGAGATGGGGTCTCACTATGTTGTCCAGGCTGATCTTGAACTCCTGGGCTCAAGCTAATCTCCCACTTCAGCCTCCCAAAATTCTGGAATTACGGGCATGAGCCATCATGTTCAGTCAAGAATATTATATTAATCTTCCATTTATTCTTCATCCAGCTTCAGAAATAAAATCTTATCAATATAGTAAAGCCCCTGGACACTTCTCTTCCCCACCAAACTCCTCATCCTCCCACTCAGAGGTAACCAGCACAGTATTTTAAATTGTGTCTTTATAGGTTTTATCTTTTTTTCTTTTTTTTTTGAGTTGGATTCTCACTCTGTTGCCCAGGATTGGAGTATAGTAGCATGCTCACGGCCACCCCAGCGTCTACCTGCTGGCCTCAGGTGCTCCTTCAGCCTCAGCCTTCCAAGTAGCCAGAACTACAGGTGCATGCTACCACACCTTGGCTAATTTTTTGATGTTTATTGTAGAGATGAGGTCTCACCAAGTTGCCCAGGCTGTTCTTAAACCCGTGGGTTAAAGCAATCCTATGATCTTGGCCTCCCCAAGTGCTGGGATTACAGGCTGGGATTACCACACCTGTCCAGGTTTTATATCTTTATAGGTTTATTAGGTTTTCCCTAGGCAAGATCTATTATTTTTCATGTTTTTAGATATTATGTAAATAAAATAAATCCTTTAGCACATATCCATGTGCAACTTTTTTTTTTTCACTCAATATCTTTTTAAAAAATATATATTTAGCCGGGCTCGATGGCTTAGCCTGTAATCCCGCGCCTTTGAGAGGCTGAGGTGAGTGGATTGCCTGACCCCACGGGTTCAAGACCCACCTGGGCAACTTGGCGAGACCTCATCTCTACAATAAATAAAAAATTAGCCGGGCGTGGTAGCGCACGCCTGTAGTTCCAGCTACTCGGAAGGCTGAGGCGGAAGGATTGCCGGAGCCCAGCAGGTCGAGGCTGTGGTGGCCGGGAGCAGCCATGCACTCCAGTCTGGGTGACAGAGTGAGACTCCAACTCAAAAAAAAAAAAAAAAAAAGAATTTCAAGACAGTGTCAGCAGAGTATTAAACTAAGCACAGGCCCCTTCTAAGTGCAGTGCTAGGTACACAGGCCACACACCCATGAAAACGCCCTGTGTATAATTCCTTTAGCTGGCATCACTCTGCACCACCACCCTTGCCCTGGCTAACTCTTTCTCGTCCCTGGAGATTCAGCTCAAATGTCCCTTCCTCCAAGAAGCCTCCTTTAACTCTACCCTTTCCCAAGCTATACTAAGCCCCTCTGAAGCCCCTCTGGCTCCTCAAGGCATCCTGTCCCAGCACTTACCATACCATCTGTTGTCATTCTCATTATTGCCTTCCCCTATCCCCAGTCTCAACACTGGGAGCTCCTAGAAGGCAGGGACTGTGCCTCCTAGCTCTGCATTCCCAGAACTTAATGCTAGGCCAGATACCTTGCGGGTACCCAAAGAACTTTGTGGAATGAAGTGGAGGAAACACAGACTCATGGAGGAGGAACAGTAAGCCTCAATCCGGAGGCAGTAGACCACTGGGAACACAATCTGGCAGGTGAAGGCACTATAGGGGGAGGATTGAGGGAAAGGAGCCATTGGATGAGAGGACAGGGGTGGTGAGCATAGTAGCCAGATAGAGCAGGTTGAGGAGCACCGTCAACAAAACAGACTAATTCAGGAAGGCCTCCTGGTGTGGGAGGGCCATGTTCCTCCAAAAGCTGACTTGGGGCTCAGGAGTACATAGACAGGTCCAACCTGCACACATGCTCTTCTCTGGGAGTTCAAGGACTGGGTGGTGACAAGGAAGTACAGCTTCCTAAAGTCTCTCCCCACCGGTCAGCTCCAGCCTTAGAAAGCAGGGGAAGAAAAAAAAAACAGACTTGTTTCTTACGGTAGATTGATGGTATCTTCCTCCGAGAAGTTAACCAAGCTGCCTCTTGAGGAAAGCGGGAGGCCTTTGGAAGTGACAGTCCTGTTCATGGATTTGGGGTTTGGGAAGGGCTTTGGCAGTTGATTGCATGCACTTATGGTGTTGATGCTTTCCGTCTTCGGGAGGGCCTCCTTCCCATCTCCCACTTTACAGAGTGCCTCCGATGCCATCTGCTTTGTTTGGGACCACAGCTGTCACCATGCAGGACAACCAAGCTGACAAGAAGCAGAGAGAAACTGTGGGGGCAGTGGACCCACCCTTAGTTTGAGTGGGAGGCGGGTACAATGAGCTGACTTCATAATCATAACAGAGTGTAACAATTAGAGGCCAGCCTCCCCCTTGATTTGAGGCTGCTGCTGCTGGGCTTACTGAGGCTGGCCAGGCCAAGGGCTGGTGTCAGAGAAGGGTAGAGCCAAGGGACAGGCTGCATGACCCCCTAGGCCCCTTCCAGTTCTAATACTCTGTGGCCACAGCAGCTCTGCCCTTCTCAGACGATCTCAAAATGCTTAACATCTGTGTCCTGTGGCACTGCCCTGGGAAGGAGGAGGAGGAGGAGGCTGGCCAGAGACAGGCAGCTGGGCATCGAGGGAGGTAGTTACTGCCCTGGGAGGCAGGCAGTCCTGGGAAGGACTCTGGGAGTGGGAAACCAGGTCTACAGATGCTGAGGCCCTGTATCCTGCAATTGTAGGCAACAAACCCCATCATGGCCAATCAGGCAGGCACAAGGGAAAGCCCAGAGGGTTCACAGGGGTTCATGGCTCATCTATGACCAGGCTCTACTGCTAAGTTCTAAATGTGCCACACCCACACTCCCAAGTACCTCCGAGTGTTGAGTGACAATGGTGGGTGTTGCAGAGGGATACAAAGATGGGCCACACTGGATCTCCACGCTCAAAGAAATCTCCTTGCAGTAGGAGAACACACACAACTATGGAGGAGGGACAGGGGACAGGAGCTGTTAGAACTGCACTGGGGGCAGCCGCGGCACGCTGCCAGCCCCAGCAAAAAAAAGCCGGGTTCAATGGCTCAGCTTGTAATCCCGCACCTTTGGGAGGCTGAGGTGAGTGGACTGCCTGAGCCCACAGGTCCGAGGCCCGCCTGGGCAACTTGGCGAGACCTCATCTCTACAATTCAAAATGAGCGGGGCATGGTAGCACGCGCCTGTCGTTCCAGCTACTTGGAAGGCTGAGGTGGAAGGATCGCCGGAGCCCAGCAGGTCGAGGCTGCGGCAGCCGGGAGCAGCCACTGCA